AGGGGAGGATGGGGGGGGCCTTCGCGTTTTGTTTTTTTTGCAACGGGGGGGTCCAGGTTGGGAACAAGGGGGACTTTTTTTTTTGGGAAGGGTGGTGGTTGGCGGTGCACTTTTTTTGTTAAAACGCGGGGGGGGTGGGTGGGCCTTTTGCAAGACCCCCTTTGGGGGGGTTTTTTTTTTTTTTTTTTTTTTTTTTTTTGAATTTTTTTTGGGGGTTGGGTTTTTTTTTCTTTTTCCCTTACCCCTTAAAAAAACCTTTTCCCGGGGGGGTTTTTGGGGTTTTTTTTGGGGGGGGGGGGGGGGGGCACTTTGGCCGGGGGGGGGGGGGGGGGGAAGCGCCCTGCAACGCCGAAGAGGTGAGAGAGGGTCCCTGGCACCCTGTGCCGCAAGGGCAAAGAGGAACAAGAGATTGGGGTGCTGGGGTGGGGACGGGGCGGAGTGCTCGATCGTTGCTGGCGTGTCTTCTGCGAGTGGTCGTCATGCTCGCCACAAGAAATCCTATAACTTTGTTGCTGATTCCGATGGGTTAAGTCACTTTATTCGTTCATCGCCGCTTCGTTACCACCGCCGCCGCCGCCGCCGCTGTTGGCCGTGACCCCAGATCCACAAGACCGACAACTGGTACTGCGACTTCTGCAGCTACGTGGTCTCCAAGGTGAGGAAGAGAGGGTGACGGTCCATCGAAACACACGGACGATAGTTTGTTTCGTCTGCTGCTCTGGGCGCGATGGATGGATGTACCTGCCGTTTCTTATCTTGCCGGTGTCAACGTGCGTGATAAAGCCATGGGGACAACTAGATCGAGCTGGTGGGGGTGATTTTGTTTCGGGAAGAGGAGAGCCCCCTCCCTGGTATAGCCCTGGCCTGGGAAGACGTCGCGCTTTCTTCCCGATCGACGAAAGGATGTTGTCTCCGGTTTGTCGTCCGACGCACTGCTCACGAGAGCAACGGTCTCTCACGCCTATCGAAGGCTTGTGCCCCCCGCCCGTACATGCGTGAAATCACGGTGCCCCCTCTTTCGTGTGTCGAACCTCTCCGCTCGCTCGACGACCAGGCGCAGAGGCATCTGGAGGCCGTCATGGCGGCTGCGGAATCGGCTTCGTCCGTGATGCCTGCGAGAGGGGGTTCTGGCAAGATGACGACGGTGGCGCCGCCGCCGCACGCGGGGGCCGCTTCTCCGCATCCACCCGCAGATAGCAGGAGGACCGGAGGAGGCAAGAAGCAACCAGCGGCGAAGAAGCAGAAGAAGTCCTCGAAACATCTGCTCCCGGCGCCGCCGCCGGCGGTTGGCCCGCATGGAAAGACGGGAGCAAGGGGAGACGGCGCGGCGGGCGCAGCGGTGGTGGTGGGGCAGTCGACGCCACCGGCGCTTCCGCCGCCCGGCAGGGGCGACCACCGTGTGGGTGATGGGGCGGAGGGAGACGAAGATACGGCGGGTGGAGGAGAGAACAGATCAACAGCGGCAGCGGCGGCGGGGGCGCGGGCGTGGAAAGGGTCACCCGGGGTGGACGCGGCGGCTAGAAAGGAGGGGTGGGTGTCACCGGGGGCAGTGGCAGGTTGGCAGTCGGCGTCAGCACGAACGACGCCTGCGGCGTCGGCATCGGCGGCGGGGGCGGGGGCGCCACGCGCGCCAGAAGAAATCGTGGCCGCTGCGGAGGCGTGGTGCGGCGTCGAGGCCTCAAGGCTGAAGCGCGACGCGCAGCAGGCGAAGAAGCGGAGCTGGGACGACTTCGAGAATGGGGGGAACGGCAGCATCGGGACTGCGGAAGCGGCGGCGGCGGCGGCGGCGGCGGCGGCTGTTGACATAGGGACGGCGGAAGGGGCGCGAAGCTCGACAGCACGCGGCAGTGGCGGCGAAACCTGCAGTAGCAACGGCAACCTCGGTGGTGGCCTCAAGGCTCCGCCGCCGCCGCTGCCGCCGCCACCGAACGGTTGGCAACGGTCGGCCGAGACGCCGTCGCCAACGCCGAGCTCTTGCGCCGCCTCGGCTTCAGACTTGTCGGCTAGGTCTCCCGCCACTTGTTCCCCTCCGGGCGAACAGAGGATAGCGTCCGCGGCCGCCGCCGACGGCGGCGTTGTGCCACCGACTACGACAGGCGGCACGGGCGGGGGGGACACGCCGGAGGTGTCTGCGGCGAGGGCGGCGCTGGAGGAGGCCGAGGAGTGCGTTGGGGTGGACCTGCCGTCGCTGGACAAGGGCCCGCCCGATGCGGAGGCGGACTGCATCCTGTGCCACGTCCCGCGGGGCGCGCTGCTCCGGGCGGAGAGGGGCACGAAGGGGCTGGGATGGTGCCACTGCCTGTGCGCGTTTTCGAAGGGGCTGCTGATCGAGGACAGAGTAGTCAAGGTGTGTGCGTGTTGTGTTTGTCGGCATCGACGGGGGTAGCCAATGTTGTCAGTCTTGGTGCCAATGGCTGGAGATTGAAAAACGCTTCTAAAGGCCATGATCTGGGGCCCTGGGCGTGTCGCTGTTGCTGAGAGCGGTGGGGCTAGATGTTGGGGGTTGCGCACTCTGTGGGGGACAGGGTGGGGGCATGCATAGCCGTCTCGTGTTGGAAAAATCGCCTGACAAGTAGATGAACCCTTTCAAGTTTGGCTTTCATGAATGATACGGCGGTGTGAGCGTTGGTTGCGACCGATCTTCTCACCCATGCTGCTGTTACAATAGCTTCGGAAACGCGAGGTGTCTTGCCTCCTCTCTCTCTCACTCGACCGTAGTTTTCTTGTCGCGGGAGTGCTCTCTGTCCTTCGGTGGCTCCCCCCCGCCCCCCTCCCTCGCCCTTACACACGCGCGCTCCTCTGTGCTCTCTCTCTATATATATCTGTATGTATATATATATATATCGATCTACCCATCTTTATCTTTCCCTCTCTCTCTTTTATCTCTGTCTGTCTCTCTCTCACTCACGTCGCATCGTTACAACAAACAAACACAGACGCGGGGCCGCATCAAGGGAGACGGCTCGACGTGCGGCTTCTGCAAGAGGACCGGCGGCGGGATCATCGAGTGCTCGGAGAAGGACTGCAAGGTCACCTTCCACCCCCTGTGCGGCAAGCCGTGGGGGGGCTCCGCAGTTCGCGGCCCCCACCTACACCCTGACCAGTGGACGGCGTGGTGCCCGAAGCACTCCGGGGGAGCGGCGGCTAGGGCGGCGGCGGCGAGAGGGTTAGCGGCGAAGGGTCCGTTCATGGGGGGCGGCAGCAGCAGCGACGGCAAGGCCATGGTGATGCCGGTCAAGGAAGTGTACAAGTGAGATAAATATGATGCGCGGTTTTTTTGTTATTTGCTGTAGCGGCAGCGATTCCGGTGAAAAGGGGGTGTAGATGCATGTGAGACGAATGGTCCGTTTTTGTTGGGCAAGGTGGCGTTTGTTGTTGTGGTGTCGGAGAACGCGAACGGCGACAATTTTGCCTTCACCCGGGAGGTTTTCTCCAATATTATGCCCAAAGAGGGTAAACATTGTTCATGTGTGCAAGCGAAAAACTGTAGCAATACATGTGTTTTTGCGTCTGTTTGCTTTGTCCTCGTCTCGCAAGCTTAACCTAGCACCTTGTAGAGGTGTCCGGAAATTAAATGATGCCAGTAGGCACCAAGAAAATCGAAGTTCATGAGAAAAACACAACATTTGCTCGTGTCCGCACTCAGGAGTTTTTGGGAGTGTCGTCCGTAGGAGTGCAAACTCCCCAAGAAAAGGTTTAAACTGGTGGCGGGAGTAGGTCAGAGGAGTTGCGGTACCCTTGACGTGCCTCTTGGTTCTCACTTGCCATAGAAGGTCAACAATCCAAAGGAGCTCGGCAAATGCGTTCGGCATGCTTGAAGGTAAATTCGTTGCGCGCACCCCCTGCTGTCGACGATTCTTTTGGCAAAGGGGACCCAAGCCGTCGCGTCTCCAAATGTTTTCGCCTCTCCAAACTTGGGCGAGTTCGAGACTGCCAGCCAGCTAGAACAGAAAGAAAACACAACAACGCGTTTCGTCGCTCCTCACTGATCCTGTACTGCAACAAAAACCGACCAATTTTGACGCCGGACGGGCGCCGCGCTTTCCCCGACCATCGCAGGATCTCGAAAGCTGCGCAGCACAAGACGAAGGCGGCGGCGGCGGCGGCGGCGGCGGCGGCGGCGACAGCAGCGGCGGAGGCGGAGGCGGAGGCGGAGGCGGCAGCGCCGGCGCCGGCTCCCCCGGCGATACCGGCGATACGGGCGATACCGGCGATACCGGCGATACGGGC